GAACGATGAGCGAGGAGAGGAGAGAGAAAGAGAGAGAGAGAGAAGAGAGCGCGGAAGAGAAGGGAAACGATGACAACGAAACGAGAACGACGACCATGACGACGACCACGACGACGACGACGACGACGACGACAACGACGACGACCTGGCTCGTCTGCTGTCTGGAGCGGGCCAGCCTGCCTCGTCGTTTAGCGCTTTTTACTGTCACGAAATTCGCCGACTCCTGAGACACGACGCTGCACGGAGGATGAGAAACGACGAAAAAAGGCAGCACGAGTCAACCGAGCTTTTGAAGAACCGTGACCGCTCTTCGTCGGAAATGTATAGTGCTTTGGGCGAAAATGCCGCGTATTCGTCATAACGTTGAGTACGATTCAATGTCAATTAACCGCAGCATACATCTCGCGACGAATGCGAAATGTGTCAGTCTTGCTAGATTTCCTGACAAAATTGATGTAATTTCCGTTGTAACAGAGAAAAAACGGAAAACTATCAAGTTTCGTTGCTAAAATATTACTTCATCAATTATCTCAAAATAAAATATGTCTAAGATATTTATATATATCCATAACCATAATTAACATAACATTAATACATTGCGTAACATATAAGATTACATTATAACTAAATTCTATGAAATTATATGTGCGTATAACATAGATTAACTCTCATTATATTATATATAATTATACTATATTAAATTGTAAACTGTAAATCCATTTAGATAATTTAATTGTAAAGATTACAGTTCTTTTCTCTCTTCATTATTTGTTTCGCTATTCGAAACACTCGATTTGGGTCTGGGTCGAAGGGCGTTATACATCTCTTGGTCCGTAAATCGCGTCCTTTCATATTCGCGTGCGAGTCAAGATGGTGTATTGGGTATCCCGACTCTGAGTCACCCTCCCTGTTGTACCTTCTTCTTCTTCTTTCTCTTCTTCTTTTTCTCTTTCCTTCTCATCCCTCTTCTACTCTTCTAGCGAACCTGGTGCGTCTGACCAAATGGAATTTTTCCACTTTATTTTCCCGGTCCTGTGCACGATATCAAATTCCATCGTTCCCGCCCTCACCCCGCACGCTTTCGCGCTGTATTTCATGTGCACACTCGTACCTTCGTCTTCCTTCTGACTGTCCGTTAAGCCGAATTTCCACGGTTTACTCTTGACGATCATTCCGAATGAGCTATTGAAATGAAAGAAAAGAATTTTCATAAAGGTAATCACACAAAATTCATTCATATCGAATAGCGAGTTGGCAACAAATCGTTCAACGTGAAATGCATGAATGAATATAACTGAGAATGATTGAGATAAAAATTTCATAGTTGTGTGTTTTTTTTGTGTTTTTTTGTTTTTTTTTTTTTGAAAAGTCGTGAATGCCCGCGAAACTGCATCAAACTGCATTTGAGACCTGCATGTTTCTATTGATGACACGTTCAAATAAAAACTCGTTCGCTCGCGCATTCGTTTGAAACGATTCATCTCCATACAGCCGTTCAGAGAGAACCATATAAATTCGGCTTTATCGAAGGATATTCAGTTCCCCCTTTTCGAAGGCCTGAGACGCTTCCTTTCGCGGGAGCGAGGAGACGGGCAGACAAGACAAATAAGAAGAACGGCAGGCACGCGACGGCTCTTTCGGAGTAACGCGATTATACCGAGGCCGGGGTCTGGCTGTGCCGCCGCCCCCGGCGGGAATCGATATTTATCGGGAAACAGGCATGAAGTGAGAATAAATTTGTCGGAAGTTGAGGGGACCGGGCAAGGGTTGGGGTTTAGCCGACAGTTTCGCTTCAAGACGGAGACGGCGGATACGTGCGTCGATTAAAAAATAGTAGAATAACGATGAGATTGGGCGGGCAAACGTGACGTATCGCCGACATGTCACATTTATCAGCGATCGATACGCATACATGTGTAAGTGGAACGCCTGCAAAATCGCATCGGATGATATGATTATTATGATTATAGATTGACATTATTCCACAGGATGAATCGTTGCTCTCATATTTTTCATTCTAATTTTTCAATTTGATTAAATCCTGGATGAATGTTCGTACGTGTGGATTATCCGCATATTACAGATTCAAATTCTTGTTGTTATGTATTACTATTGTTGTTGTTGATGCTTATTAATAACGAAAATATTCAATCCCGTTTTATATTTACAATCAAAAATAACATTTTATTATCCGTTCATCCGCCGAACAAAAACGAGAATAAAGTAAGCGAGAAAACAGTATCGTATCCGTATCCGAGTTTTGACAGATGAGACTAGAATACCGATATACCCGTCCGGAAAGTCCAACGTGAAATAGGAATAAATTTGTCAGGATTTTCTTCCATTCGATACGAGCCGGGTACACAGAGGGAAATGGTATCTTCTTCACTTCCTAATCAGCGATCGCTTTATCAGGTTCTCCCGACCTGCATGATTACGTCGAATGCACGGAGATAACGTCGTTATTCCCTGAGCGTGATATCGGATCACCGCTTTAATAAAGTTATTATAGAGCTTCGCGACACATACGCACGGAACGTATCGATGTTGCAGCGAAAATATGAAGCAAAGGGTATCGAACACGGATATCGAAATTGGAGACTTCATTTTTCTTCTTTCGAAACGGAATCAGTTGCAATAGTTGTTACAGGCAGAAATAGTAATTAATGATTCTAGATTATTAATCTCTTGAAAAACTATCATTCTCCAAGAAGAGAAGTTAATATCATTAATTGAGAACAAGATATCAGTTAACTTTTATCTCGCGTCTTTGGTAATTATAGAATATCTTATATAAAATATTACAATACTACGTGAAATAAAATTTTAGGCGATTTATAACTCGTGCTAGAATTTAGAACAGATTTTTATTTATATATAGTTTTATATGTCATAACAGATTTCTGTTTACAGTTTTATCTACTGTAATATAAAACGATTTAAAAAAACACAACACACACAACATATATGAATAAAATGTATATTAAAATATACACATATTAAAATAAACGGCATGTAGCTATTATAAATAAAAGCAACACGAGTTATAGATCGTCTAAACAAATGAACTTTATAAATGATTTACAAATGGATTTTATAAATATATCACGTTATATGCACACTGCTCTCAATTTTGGTTCAATTAATCAAGCAAAAACATTTATTATTATCGTGAAGTAACGTAACAGAAAAATCATACGAACGATGAATTCTATGGTACTGTAAAATGTAGTAAACAAACAACCAGTAGCTTAATTAATGTAGAGAAACGGAAGTCAGAGTTATGAATATGTAACGCAATAAATACATAATACAATATAATATAACCAACATAATAGAATACAATAAGTATAAGAAAGTATAAGAATGTACTTCGCACGGTTGTATTATAAAACATATAAATAAAATTTTTTTATATATGATAATATTACAGTGACTATTAAACATAAGTTTGAAATTTACCATTGACGATTAACAAATTTATATATAATAAAGCTGGATAGAGAAAAAAATGTACACACAACAATCCCATAATTTCAATTGGAATCATGCTTCCGCTCAGCTTCCCGACGTGAAGCATCCGGCGTTTTGCCCGAAGCCCACCCTCGCATTTGCGCACGTTGGGATTCGGTTGGGATTCCGAGCCACCCGTTAGCGCTAAACACCCCCGAGAAGTCGGTAGACACATCGCTCCACGCGGCGGAAGTTTCAGTTTGGGGAATCCTCTGCGATTATTAGTTGGACAAGTAGTTCGCAACGTCTCCCAGGGAAACGACGGTGGCCCTGGCGGGGTTAAAGCGAGGCTTGATTAGGCGCGGCAACTTGTTTCCGTCGCCGGGTCCCTCCCCCTTCCTCCTTTTGCGCGAACTTAAACCACATTAAATTGCGCTTAAGTCAAGCACGTGCTGAAAATGCTGTCGTCGCGAACGCAAGGGAAAGCCGAAGACAGGGGGGAAGAAGCCGGAGAGAATGAGGGGGGGGGATGTTGTTGGCGGCGGAAACGCACCGGCAAGTATGTGCGACTGGAATAATGGCGTCTGGTGGGAATATCTTCCACAAATTTCCATCTCCAGATGCTTCGCCGTAACACGTAACAGGCCCCGCGACAATCGAAACCTGATTATAATTAGGGACTCGCGAATTATTCCAATTTCGAAGACTCCAAATTATAACTAGTGGCTGCTCCAAATATAAATGGAAAATTTGTATTTTATCTGCAGAACTAATAAGCATCTGCTTGCAACTTTCAACTGACGGTTTAATTAATATTTTAAAATTTTCTCTCTCATGAGGAAGAAAGAGTCAATATCAATTATAGTAGATACACTACGATAAAAGTTCGGAGCATTTGAGACACAATTTAATATCACGAAATTTACATTCTTCATGCAATTCCTTGCAAATTACATTAACTTCTCATATTTGTAACCTCTCATACCTGCATAAGACCTTTATTCTCAGGATTATAAGTCTCTTTTTTATTAAAATAATAATTCGTTTTGTTGTTGTCTGACTCGCGATGAATAATAGGGCAATAGAAGGAATCATAAAAAAGGGAAAATGATTAGGGCGCCAAACGTTATTCGTTATTCCAAACGTTATACTGAAAACACAAGACGTCAAATGAGAAGAAACTTGAAGGAATTTACTAAACGTGTCACACGCAGTGCATACGCAGGATGAGATGTTCTGCGTAGGATGCGCATGATTTTCCTGGAATCAGTCGAGTGTACAGGCATGGAAATGCGGCTGCGGGTAACTTTATTCGCACAAAACTTTCGCGAAGCGGAAGGTACTCTCTTTCTTAAACGAGACGTAACTGTCGTGTTAATTGTTAATCTTCGAAAAACCTGAGTCCATTAATTTTAACTGCGACTTTTGTGTGCGCTGTGTATTCTTTAAAATATTACTTCTTAAAAACATTTTCTCGCGCGGATTTTATGGTAATGTAAAAAGAAAAAGTTTACATGTTCTTATTTCGTTTCTTCTTTTTTCATTAAGACAGGCTTTCGCCGTTATGGTGTATTAATTATTACAGATTGCTACATGTTATCATTACTATTATTTTGAACTGTAAATATGAGCGGTGAATAACAGTCCAATTTAGGACATATTGCACGACGCCGCAAGCTGAGGTTTCAGGACGATCGAACGGAGGAGAGGAAGTGGCGATAGCGATGTGTTTGACTGTATTAGCTGGGGGTGTGTTTGCTAGAGGCAAACGGACGAAACCGGTAATTATATTTGGCGTCGATTCCTTAAGTACACATCACTGGCTCACGACGGGGGTGCGCTATAGATACTACCTCCATCAAAGGGGCGTTATGTATGTACCTCTTGGAGGGTGAGACGAACCTCGGGAATCGGTAAATACTGACGCGTACATGATTGGAAGTTAATGTCACCCGTGCACCGAGAATTAAGATCACGTACGCTCGCCACGTCGTGACGCACGTTTCACCAAATCCCGAATACTAACGTTTAATAACCAAATCTATTAATCAAGACCGCTAATCATCTTTAGAACGATATGTCTATCTCGGGAAGAAAGAGATAATTATATATACATTTTTATTTTTCTATTTGCATGTAAGAATAAAAATTTCTTCTTGTCTTAAAAACTGCATTTTTAAATCACGGCAGAAAAAATTGCAGGAAATGATTATAGATACGGAAAAATTGATTATAAATATCAATGTTTCGATAAGAAATTCTCCTAAAATATTACGCGTCGCAGCTTTTTAAGTGTACATTGTTTCGAGGACGGCCGACAAGAGCAGCTATTTGTAGGCACGTCTTGTATAATGTGCAACTACCAGAGCTGCATGATTATAGATAGCATTTAGTAGCGAGCTGCCGGTAAGGTGGGGCCAGTGAACAAGTACACGGTCCGTTGAACTAATCTAAGGATAAGTTAGGCTAGGTTAAACTACACGAGACCGCGCTGCTGCCATTAACTGAACCGGGTTAGAATCCTACAATTCCGCCAAAAGTTTCCCGGAGAGTCCTTGCTAGATATTCCTTGCGTCCTTCTTGTTCTTGTCGACCTGCTAGCTAATAGCTACCAGCAATCCGTTGCTTTTATTGCCGTATAAAGTGCGGCGTTAATATACGACGATATGGCTCTCGGAATGACACCGAATAAATATTACGTGACGGCCGGTAACGGCTGTTTTAAAGAGAGCCGAGGTTATCAGAGCCTCACCTGCGATAGAATCAATATTATTTTCTCGTGAGATATTCTTTCTTGCAAATTACGTCCGCTCATTGAAACGAGATTATCTTTAACAATCTTGGATATAACTCCTCATTAATCCGTTCGCCGAAACTTTCTCCCCAATGAAACAAACTTGCCTGAGCGACGTGCACTTCCTTCCGCAATCGCGAAAAGTCTAAGGCAAGAAGTAGGAAATTTTTGCGATTTAATTTCGAGATGGAAAGATAACTTTTCTTTATCCGCTCTCATTACCAGCGTCCGCGCGCTCATCCCTCATAGCATTTTAATTTAATTCCGTTATAATTACGTTCGAGGTTCGAGGTTAATTGCAATTAAGAAGCGAAGATCAATTGGGCGGTAAGAAGGTGGTACGACGAGTAATCTCCCCTCTTACTCGCCTCCGCAACGAGAATACGTTGCTTTCGGCTAGTCTAAATGGAATGTAGACATAAATATCAGGCTTACTCTACAAGAGAATTCCCGTATTAGAGCTGGATATATATCGAACCAGGAAAGAGAGAACATTCTTCCTTATTGTTAGAAAGAATTATGGTAATCAGAGGGTCTCATTATGTGCAAATATATTAAAGTAAACTTAACGTTTAATCACACAGCCGCTAATCTTCTTAGTTTATAATAAACGATTAGAAGATAACACTTTTAAATATTAGACGCTACGAAAGCAGACCAAATATTTATTATCACGCGACACACAGATGCAGATGCAATTATGTCATCCTTGCTCCCGTCTAAGTATCGATCAAAGAAATTCGGCTGGCGGACGTCGTTTCTTAAAAAGCCCGTAATGCCGATATAAATCACGCCTTTGGGGGCGCAATTCGTAACGTTGAAAACTTGGGCTCTTTGTCAATTTAATCCGAAGTTTCCGCGAAAACATATTTTTCAGATAATAACTCAGTCCCGACACCTTTACCGAACCTCCACCTGCACATTCATATCCCGAGCTCGTAAATCAAGGAGCGGTCTTACCGCAAGGGTTTCCATTAGTCCCGGAAAAAATTCGCGGATGACAAATACGATTGTTTCAACGACTCACCTGCAACATAAAAAAAAAAACGAGAAACAGATTTAGTATGATATTGCCACTGGTACGCTGTTCGCGGCCTGCTTGTATAATTATCGCGAGTAGTCTTTTATTATGTCATACATTTATTTTGTCCTGATTTAATCGCATATTCCAACGTTTATTTTCATAAATTTAGCATAATATTTTCTTGCGCCATTTATTTTCATCGTCGCTTACGCAAATGTTGCACATTCATGAAAATATCTCCCGTATCATTTCATATTAATTATACGCTTATTTTGGAAGGGTAGATGTAATATAATATCTCTCATCGCATTATTGTCCTTTATACTATATAATTATCAGTATTATCTGTGATATCCCGCGTTAATTATTTTCCTGTTTACTTTACGTAGCCCTGGTCTACGTGTTTATACGTAGCAATCAATATCGTTTGGATCGTTCTACGTTAATATTAACCGCATATCCCCCGTATTTATGCATTCCCCGATTTTGCTTTATATAATCCATCGCCTTGACTGCAAGACCTGGGATAACAATTTAAACACATAAAACTTCCCGCGTTCCACTGTCTCGCAAAGTAAACAAGTACTCAACTCGGAGTTTCTTCGCGTTCTTCAATTCTTGCCTGAAACATTTTTAACGAGAAGCAAATAAAAGTAATATCGCCTCGTTTGCGTCGTGATTACGCGATAAAACGTAATTTCCTACCGTGAAAGATACTCGAAAGTTTCGATCCAGTTACGAGACGCAAAATTCAGCTTCTTAATGCGATCATGGCGATCGCGAAATATCTGTTTTTGAAAAACTAAAAGTCCTTCCGCTCCACGCTCCTGTATGATTTAATTACCGTCCCGATCTTTCAACATTTGCTTTACATTTCTTACAGCGCACGATTTTTCGATCGGTGCAAGAAATGTTTAACGATCCCTCGCCAGGAGCCAGAACGATGGCGAACGAACACGAATGCGTAACATCCGGTAAATCCGCAAAGTCGGCGCAAATCAATCATGTATAAAACGACGGCGCCGATAAATCTCGGCGGGCCAATAAAATCGTATCAATCAGTCGGGGTGGGCGGGTGGGATGATACTTTTTCGACTGACGTTTCTCCAAAGTTCTCCCACAGATGCGCTCGTCCTTGCTCGACGATGATGGGTAAGATGAAGCGGGCAGGACGTCGAGAGATCTTACAAAATCGGCGGAGGTCGGAGAAGGGTCGACGAAACTTCACGCCGGATCCCCCCGTGGCGGACGAAGAAAATGACGAAGGAGAACGAGCAAGAAGACGGAGGCAGGGTGAAAAGAGGGTGAGGGATCGCGCGAGACGGAGAGAAGAGGCGCGAAAAGTTTCGTCGCTCGGCCTCGCAGTATCCCGTCGTCTCGCTATCCAGAGATGTGATATACGTGCCGGGAAAAGTTGCTGTATCGTTTCGAACGCTAAAGTGTATCCGGGAGGAAAGAGAGAAGTACGAGAGACTCCGTGAATCTGAGAGGTGATCGCTCGTCGATTTCTCCGAGCGCGAGATATTCCTTAGCACGTTGCCGAGTGCCGTTCAATCGATTTTCTAAAAATTGCGATTGACCCTATCTAATATTTACCCTGGGACACGTGTCCAATTCTGTTCCACTGTAGTCGAATGACGTAGTTACCTCTTTGAAAAATAATTTTATTTCTTTTTATTTCCGCTTATTGGCACGCTATTCTTACGTTCACCGAATATCTACAAATCGAAGATGTTATCTCAATGCGCTACATTTAGGAATTTCAAATAAAGTCCGTTAATAGACTTCAGTTTTGCGGAGGTCACACTTGTTGAAGTTATAAATTCTAGAAATTATTCGGAAAATTCGCAATCCTTGTACGAGCAGTAAAGGCGGTAACATTCTCGGTGGCGTAACATGGGGAAACGACATATTTCCACGAAGTAGCTCGATGGATGTAATCGATGCAGCGAATCTGACGGGTCGGAGTCTCGAATGTAGCGAGAAAATTATGAACTCGCGTGGAAATACTCGTTAGACTTCTCGCCCCTACGCCGTAACGTGGGACGTGCGTATTTACTGGAAACCATCGGCGCCGCCACTGCTACCACCATCTTTTCGGCGTCCCGCCGCCAGTAACGCAGGCAGCGCGGCGGTAACTTTTAATTCGCGTGCCCGACGTCGACCAATCTGTGTCGTGCGCACCCCTATTACTCCTGATAAGGCCGAGGTAATTTATTTACCAAGCACGAGGGATGCCATCACGCGACCCCTTCTTATGTTCCTCCTTCGACGCCGGAAGGCAGGAAGGAGCGAAAAAAGAAGAGGCGCGTAACAAAAAAAAAGATATGTTCTTTTGACTAATGGATATGATGTCGATTAGATAAGATCCCTCGATAAATTTAGGATTGTCTTTGTTTATTGAAAATTTATTTAAACCACGTATACTGAACTTAAGTCTTAAAGTCTATCTGGCAATTTTACTTGGCTAGAACACCATCAAACGCTCGTAAATTAACAGAAATAAAATTCAATGCAAATCTTTTAAAAGTATCTCAATTAAATTTCTCTGCGTGCTTCGAACTTTCTATTCACATTAATATATCACGCTCGCGACAACTTCGAAAAAAGACCTTTCGCTTTGATCAAATCAGGCGGAACGGATTGGAATTGGAAGAAAGCTTGGTTCAGCTGTTAAGGGAATCCAAATGACTCGTCACTGTCGAGCCATCCATTTCAACGTGCCTTTCTGCGGTCGCCGCGAGACCCGAGAAATTGTCTGACAATGAGCGAGAGAGTGGTGGATGAAACCAGAAGGGGTTCTGCAGTTCTCTTTGTGACGTGATCGATGATCTTGCGCAGGACATCGTATTCTTCCGTTTCGCTATAAACTTCGCGCTTCGCACACCTACACTGTAACAGCGAAATTTTAATTATTTCTTGCAACGATTTTTATTTCATCACGTCAACTAATTACAATTTTATTTTACGATACGAGAAGACTGAAAAAGAAAAGCAAGAAACGTAAAACAGTAAATGGGAATAGAATGGAACTAATATATGACACCACGAATTCACCAACTAATTTAATTTCCACTAATAATTTTATAGCAGTTGCATAATTATTATGGTTAAAAACTCGTACAAGAAACGACAACAATTTCCCTTAAGAAAATTTGCAATTCTTAAGACCTCTCAGAAGTAAATGAAGGGAAGTGCTGAAACAATTGTGGATACACGGATAACATAAAAGTCTCCGGAAGATAATAATTAAAATTTAAAAAAGCTCTTCTTAGATCTGTAGGAGAACGGAGAATGTTATTTCTTAGGATGTAAGTACAAGAAAGGATTGCGAAGATATGCAGAAGAGCCAAGGCGGTCGAGGTGGAAGAGTGTGGAAGTGGGTGGAAGGCGTTACAGCAAGGAAGAAAAATTGTACGAGGTGTAATCGCTGCTTGAGCGTAAGCGAATGTACCTCCGGGCTGCCGGAATCGTTTTCATCTTCTAACGCAGTTAGGATTTCATTACGCGATATTACGATTGCCGCCGCCATCGCTATCGTCACGTGCCATAAAATCGTGCTACCTGGACGCTCTCTCATTATCTATACGGATGATGAGATCCATACGCTGAATCGAGTTTGTGGATAACGGACATTTATTTCGCGAGTAAGTGTGATTTGATAGCTCCGCGAATGTTCGTGAGCGGGATAATTGATAAGCGCGTTGTAAAACGTTTTATTAAAATTGGAAAACGAACAACGTATTAGGATGTTAAACATGCGCCAATTCATGTCTCGTAAATTATCAATTACAACCAATCTGACATATAACATGACTGGTTATAAACGCGTTGATTCATTGTATTTATTACATATATTACTAAATTATTTCTTGATTCACAACAATATTATTTCTTTTCAATTTAAATTTATAATCACGATACTACAAAATGTAAGCTAAATTTAAAAGCAGTTCTCACATATATTTCATTACTATAAATATCAATATAATTAATACGTTTAAAATCCTATTTTGAAAGGAAGAAACATAAGAAACAGTCTAGTTTCGAAATAGAATTGTTTACGGACTTTGTTTCATCGATAATGGTATTATTCTTGGTGAAAGTATTTACGTATATAAATAAATATTTGAAATACAGTTATTTCTTTAAAGTTTTCTGCCCAACCGGCGGCAAAGGCGCCAACTGCATTACCTCCTGCAGAAGGCTGCATTGCGAGCAGTGGGTAGAAACTGACATTTACTGGCAGTCTGACGTTAATCGGGTTCAACGCGCCCTCGTACAACGATAACCTGTTTTTCTGCGTCTCGCATGCATTCGTGCCGTGCCTGTTGCAAGAAATAAACCTCGATCGATAAACGTGGCTATAAATATAGATAGAAAAAGCACAAAAATAAGCAAACAATAATATAAATAAAAATTGATGTTATTTTACAATTTTAAATTCAATCGTCACGATCGTTTTAAACGAAAGCTATGTAAAATATTAAAATTTATTCCCTTTAATAGTGATACACGTATTTTGCACAGATATCATTCGCTATCGAGAGACAATTTATCTCTCACGTAAAATACGAAGTAATAATTTATCTCATATTTTATATAAAATTTATCAGTTCGCGTCACGCGATTCTTGCATCGCAGACTTTAACGATTCGGACGAGGTGAAATGTCGCCTGTAAAAATAGTCTGAAGAAAAGGATGGAGGGAAACTAAATTTTACAACTGTGTCGATGAGATGTATCTTATTTCCTCGACCAAATATTCGAACGATCGAATTGTACGATCGTGTCTCACGCGTTTGAAATTCGCGAGTCTTTATCGGTGATAAAATCGGATATTCCCGCGCCTTGCACGTTGTATTATTTCCCATGACAAGGGGGTGAGGATACGCTCGATCGAAACGATTCACGCTATCGATCCTTAAAAAATTTTTGGCGAAACCGGCCCTTTACGATCGATTAAAGTGAGAATTTAACGCTCAGTTCGCAGAAAATTCTAAC